TTAGCCGTCTGCTGTACACCTTGTGTCAGACCCAGGTGGCCAGCCTGCCCTAAGACAGGGAATTTGGAAGAACACATGAAATCAACATGAAATTCGAGATGGAGTGGGGCGCTCTTCACTCCCAGAGTCTGCCCTCAACAAGTACAAACAGCACAAGACAATTTGCCAATGTAATCTACCTTACATACATCGGTACTTCCTCCAGGCCTACACATTGAGTGGAGGGGAAGGCCATTAGTTTGGATCACCGGGTCCAGCATCATGGTTTACAGGTGGGCCAAGGAGAACCAGAGGGGGACAACGCAGCATCCTGCCCTGCCTCCTATCCTCCTTATCCATCCACTTCCCTGAAGTTCCTGTCAGCTTCAGCCACAGCCACGAGCTAAAGCACCCATTGTGACGGGGTGTGGCACACTCTCAATCCTCACCCTTATTTCCAAAGGTCCCACAGGAGCCAGGCCCTGGGTTCACATGGCCATGTGCTCTGCTGAACCCTGCTCCAGTTATTTTGGTCACCAACTCTCTGCTTTGTCTCCAACAACCACCTCTCCTTGACCCCCAACTCTCCTGGACCCAACCTCTTCCGCCTCCAGGTTTGCCCCTTTCCCCACCCCAAAGCCAAAGATTCTTAGAGGATGATCCTGGCTCTAGCTCCAGATTCCAGACAGGGATGGCATTTCCCCGTGGTCAGCTGACACTTCGTCCTTATGGAAACAATGTGGTCCAAAGGCTAGGGCCTCTCCCCACCCCAGCTCTAAACTCTGATCTCATGTGCCTCTAAATGTCTTGTTCTGAGGCCCCAGTCTCTCTTCTCATACCCATCCTGTCTCCACAACAGCTTTTCCTAGGATCTCCCTGAACTCTCCCAAGGCATTGGTCCGGTACTAGCCAAGAGCTGGGTACCCACCTGCTGCACCCTTCCAAGAAGAGACCCCCCCTTGGTTCCCTAGCTCAAGTACGCAGCATTCTTGAACAAGTCCCTTTTCTAGACCTCTGTTTCCTCTGTGTAGAAGGAAAATGGACTAGCCGATCCTCAAACGCCCTGCCAGTTTCGACAGCCTATGATCCTGTGATCTGTTCACACCCCACAAAAAAAAGCTACCGTCTCATTAAATAGTGTTGATTTGTGCACATCGTAGTTACGAATGCTGACTGAAACATATACATGTTATCAAGACTCAATCCCCATACAGTCCCAGTAAATAATTCTCAGCGACCTTGCCTAGGAAAGCAAAAGGCGGGGCCTGTTTGGAGAGGTCAGAGGCTGCCCTCTCTATACCTTCTCACGCCTCTGTTCCCAAGCACGTGATACTCCAGAGTGAGACACTTGCCTTGATTTTAATCAAGCAACCTGGCAGCCCAGGTCAGCTCATCTGTAGGGACTAGAAAGGATTGGAGGCCAGACAGCCATGGCCATGGCGGTGTGCAGCAGAAGGGGAAGCAACAGCGAGCAGGTGAAGGGGATTTCTGAAATCCGATGCTACCATGCAAATGAGGTCAGCCCCGCATGCAAATGGACAAAGTCAAGTTGAGATGGTCAGGGTGGGAGGCCAACAGGCTGGATCTGAAGCCCCAGCAGGAGATGGGGGCTTCCTCTGGAGAAAGCATGACTGCCTGGGGAGGCTACATCAGGGGCAGGGGCCCCCTATATGCCCACACAGCAGGGGCGGGGATTAAGGTCGGATGCCCTGCTGTCAGGTCAGCGCTGATGGATCACCACTGATGGTGGAACACAAAGGCTGCTCTGTGCCTGGCACCAATGTGTTCCCGTCCATCAGAGGGCAGCTTGAGGGGTGCTGGGGTGTGAAGGAGAGGGAGACCAAGGACTAGGCACGGCTCACAGGTTGGTGAGAGAACTGGGTGTCTAAGGAGCCAGTACCCCCACTCTCTGCACTGGGACTTTGAAAGATCAGAGAAACCAGAGTGACCCTACCACCTCAGTCCCAAGAGCATCTTTGTCCCACAGTGGGGCTTGGCATGCTTGAGTCTACCTTATTCAGACATACACAAAGACGTCTACAGACAAGGATTCCCAGAGACCTAGGCACACAACTCCCAGCCCGCCCTCACATCCGGTGGTGTTTCCTGCAGACCAGAGTTATGTCCAGTCACAGCCTTCATCACTCACTCAAGGAGCAAAACAGAGTAGGTTGAACAGAAAGGAGAAAGAGAATAGATTTCTCCTCTGGGTTGTTCTTGTTCTTTTTCTAGACTTCTCTTCTGTCACCCAGCACTTTCTGTCTTGGAAAGGTGAATGTGAGTACACCAATATCACTCAACTGTGACGCAGGGTGGCAGGTAGATGACATCCTAGTCATGTCACCAGGCACCCAGTGCTCAATACACAGTCTCCTGACTGAAAGGATTGGGGGGAGGGTTCCCTCCTCCAGTCCTGATGCTGTGCTCCATGTGGTTAAAGTGGATACCTGATTGGGAAGCATGAGTCTAAGAGGAAGAGCAGGCACAGAAGCAGAGATATGGCAAGAACCAATGGTCTTGTATTCACCAGGTGTTTTCAAGTGCTGGACACACACACACACACACACACACACCTACTGACAGCTTGAAACATGTATGTTTTCTCAGTAAAATCCACCCTCCTGCCCAAGCCAATGATTCAGTCCTTCATTGTCTCATTCCTGAATTACTGCAAAGGGGTTTGGGAGTAACATGGTTTCCTTGTCTCAGTTTCCAAGCCCTCCATGCCCAGCTAGGCCTCCTACATTTACAGACTTGTTGTCAGCCCCGCCCCCTCACCAGAACCCTGAGATCCACACAAACCAATCCATCTTCTCACCTCTTCATGTCTTTATTCTGCTAGCTCCCCCCGACCTGATCCAGAACTTTTCCCCTCCTGAGCCCTCCACAAGGTTTAGCCTTCGGTGACTTTGCCATTTGTTTGCAAGTGATCCATGTTGTCCTCATATGGTCTTGTTTTTATTTTGTCTGAGAAGGAGTCCCCCAACTAGCCCGGACTAGCCCAGAACTGGCAGTCCTCCTGCCTTGGCCTCTCCAAGTATGGAATTAAAGGTGTATGCCACCATGGCCACCCATCTCATTGGCTGCGGCATTAACAGCTTTGTAATGGAGCGTTCTCTACTAAGGGTCCAGGCTCAGCAGGCTCACCAGGGTCCTGCAAGCCGTCTAAGAACAAGTCCCTTCTGCTCCCACTTCCGAGGAAGAAGACATTGTTTCGGGTTGGGTCAGATTGGGTCCCACAAGGACAAAAGACATCATTTTTAGGTTTCAATGGCAACCGTGGCACCTCCCCTCCACCTTCTTCTTCAGGGCTCACAGGACTGCAGTGTAAACTGAATCAAGGTAAATTTTTGTTTCTTCTTTTTGAGGGGTGGAAAGCGTGCTGAATGTGGAGAGTAATGTCTGGCCAAGTCTAGAACACACATACTGGTGCTGCACTTTGTATCCATGAGTAAAGTCGCGAACTGAATTAACTGAATTAACGCCTCTCTTTGTGTCCCAATTTGCTGGGGGCTCTTTCACTGTCCAGCTTGTGCCCTTCCCACTTGTCCCCACCTTCAAAGGACAGCGGCGTTTTCTTGACTCTTCCCTGTGGCTTACGGGAGGAAAGAAAGCTAGTCCTTCAAACCCCATGCAGCTCTCACCTCCACTAGGGAGTGAGTCCTCCCTGAGCCCCCACCATACATACCTCGATTTCCCCTTACTGTCCTGACTGCTAGTCACAGGATGGCTCACACTTAGTATGCAGGATCCTGGGGAAATCCTGACCCAAGGCTAAGAGTTTTTGAATTCCTAAAGCTACAGGTCAGTAGCTGCCATGTGACATCCTCAGGAAGAGGACTCAGGAATCAAGAGGTGGGGTGGAAAGGAGGCCAGCAGCCCGCAGTCCTTCTTAGAACTGTCCTCCCTGATCACCAAGGCTGACGGGTGCAGCTGGAGATGAAATGGGAAGCCAAGCTCCCCCACCACGCCTGACATTCTAGAGTTGTATGATGCATACAGAGATGGTGACTCGGGCAGGAAGGGATAGAAGAAGCCAGCCTGGTGGCCCAGGAGAGACACGAACAATACAAAGGACTATTCTTCTTACCACCCTATATCCAGAGATGAGTCAAGATGGTCCTAATGTCAGAACAGGGCAGGAGCATCATTAAGGAAGAAAGCATCAAGAGATGATTAAGAGAGACCTAGCAGAGAGACAGAAGACCAAATCGCTATTAACTGGGGGGAAAGATGGCGATGCAGAGGCTGTGAGGTCTCATCCTCACTAGACACTGACTTCCCCTGGCCCCTACTACTTAAGAACTCCCCTTACTTAAGATGTCCTCGAGTTCGCTTGCCTCAATTTATGCCCAGTTACATGAGGACTATGGAACCCAAAAGTTGAACCAACTTGCCCTTCTGAGTTTCTGTCTTCTGCCTCCTTGGACCCTATGTATTCACACACACACACACACACACACACACACACACACACACGCCCCGAATTTGGAGTGGTCCTGCTGTGGTGGGTGGTAAGTCTTTAGGGGTCTCCCGAGACTGGTGCTGTATGCTTTATGGTGCTCCCAAGCAGCAGAGAGTAGGCTAGATGGAGTCTGAGGGCCACTTCTAGCCAAAGCAACCTCTTTCTTGCGTCCTCCTGTCCTGTCCACCAGCTGCCTTGGACCATGAAGGAGAGCAGGCAGGCGGCCCGGAGAGGAGTAATTGAAAGGAGCAGATGAGAGGGGGGAATGCATCCACCCCCACCTTCCCTACCCCACAGGGACTGTGGAGAAGGGAAAACTAATCAAATTACAGTCGACGGCCTCCCGACCCGTGCGAGCATAGGAGCCGCCTGGGCCAGGGGCAGGCAGGCAGGGTGGGGTGGGGGCGAAAAGAGAGGGAAGGGGAATCACTTGTAATCCACTGTAAACGTCTTGATGTGCAGCAACAGCTTAGAGGGGGGCTCAGGTTTCGGTGGCGTTGGCTATATTTATCTCTGGGTCCATGCCAGCAGGGAGGGTTTAAATGGCACCCAGCAGTTGGCGTGAGGGGCTGCAGGAGCTTGGGGGCCAGTGGCAGGAACAAGTCTTTTCCGACCCGATGGAGCTGTATGAGACATCCCCCTATTTCTACCAGGATCCCCACTTCTATGATGGGGAAAACTACCTGCCTGTCCACCTCCAGGGTTTCGAGCCCCCAGGCTATGAGCGGACTGAGCTCAGCTTGAGCCCGGAAGCCCGAGGGCCCCTGGAAGAAAAGGGACTGGGGACCCCTGAGCACTGTCCAGGCCAGTGCCTACCGTGGGCGTGTAAAGTGTGTAAGAGAAAATCAGTGTCCGTGGACCGGCGGAGGGCAGCCACACTAAGAGAGAAGCGCAGGCTCAAGAAAGTGAATGAGGCCTTCGAGGCCCTGAAGAGGAGCACCCTGCTCAACCCCAACCAGCGGCTGCCTAAGGTGGAGATCCTGCGCAGTGCCATTCAGTACATTGAGCGCCTACAGGCCTTGCTCAGTTCCCTCAACCAGGAGGAGCGAGATCTCCGCTACCGAGGCGGGGGCGGGCCCCAGCCGGTGGTAAGTGGTTGGCACACCAGTCCCAGGGATAGGGCCAGAGGGAGGTGCCTGGTCAGCTTGGGCTGGAACAGGTGCAAAGCCAGGGCCCTAGGGAATCTCAGGACCCCTTTCCTTGTTGGCTAGGCTGTCCGGAGACCTTCTGTGTTCATACTGCTTCCAGACCAGACGAAGGCAGTGGTAGTAAATATAGATGGAGGGGGATGGGGGACGGACGGGCACAAGAGGACAGAAGGGGGCCAGGAACAAGTCTGCCCTAAGGGCTTAGGAGAGCCCAGGTGAAGGCGAGGGCTGATTCCCATGATCGAGGCAGCATCTAAAAGACCAAATGCCTAAAGAAACCTGCTTTGTCCTGCTCAGAGGTCACCATAATGAAGTATTGTGGCTTACCACCCTTATCTCCAAAGTGAAGGCAAAATTCCTATCCTAGAAACCAGGAAAGACCTAGAAAGTAGGCTATCTGTGGAGAACATTCTAGAGTGGTAACCTACCCAGGAACCCAAGCAGTGAGCTACAGCTGAGGATGATTGTAGAATTGACCTTGGATCTTGGCCTTGTCTTGCAGGTACACAGTGAATGCAACTCCCACAGCGCCTCCTGCAGTCCAGAGTGGGGCAGTGCACTAGAGTTCGGTCCCAACCCAGGAGGTAAGTGAATCCTGACCCTGGTAACCATGGCTCAAATCGCTTAGACCCTAACTAGGCTGGGCTAGTCCCTTACCTTATTCCATGTTGCAGTCACCTTCCCGTGGCTTCCTCGGGAACCTGCTGACCTGAGGGCCCCAAACGGTGGGCTGGAGACCCTGTGCCTCCCTGTAGCCTTGACCAACTAAGGAGTCCTCACAGTCTCCAACAGCATTCCAGCCGGTGTCTGGTGGCTGGCCTCAGGGAGAAGAGCCTGTCCCTGCCCCAGGGGTCCCTGGGAACTGCTGAGTCAGTGCTACAAAACTGGGCCTGGTTCCCTAGGATACACTATCCTGGCTTCACCTTGGGATAGCCACTTCCAAAACCTAACTGCATTAGAGGATTTCAGAGAGGAAGCGCGCGTGCACACACACACACACACACACACACACAATGGGGTGTGCTGGAATGCTAGTGGCTGGGGGAACTCCTGACTCTCGCTCTCCTATCTGTCTTGGAAAGCCTGTGCCATCTCAAGGGTCCCATGCCCCTTGCCCAGGAAGCACTCCCGTTTTCCCTTACAGATCACCTGCTTGCAGCCGACCCTACAGATGCCCACAACCTGCACTCCCTCACCTCCATCGTGGACAGCATCACAGTGGAGGATATGTCTGTTGCCTTCCCAGACGAAACTATGCCCAACTGAGTTTGTCTGCCAGGCTGGGTGTCCACGTGAGCCCCCAAGATGGTGTCAAAGGCCACCACTTCTGCTGCAGGGGCCTTTCAAGCGAGGCTGTCCTGGTGCCAAGAAAACAGCCCCAGGCTGCCACAGGCCAGACTTCCCACTCCCCATTCATAAAAGGCTAACACCCAGCCCAGCAAGGGAATGGATGCCTTCTTTTAGCTGACTCCTTAGAGAAGAGAGTATCCCCTTCCAAGGAAAGAAATATGGGGTCCAGAGAACCCTTGTGGATGTTCCCCAATGGGGCAAACTTAGGAGCTTTTTTTAAAAAAATCATAATATGCTTCTAATTCCACGCCCCCCAAATGAGAGCCTGAGACAGCGCCCCAATCTGGACAAGCATGCATATCCGTTCCAATCTCTCCCTGATGCCAGGGGCTAGGCTGGGCCTGCCCTGAGTTGAGAGAGAAGGGAGAGGAACTACCCTGTTCCAAAGTCCCTGGGGGCCAAGCTTTTGCAGTGGATATTGGGAACCTTCCAATGGTTTGTGTATTGTTTTGTTTTGTTTTGTGTGTTGTTTGTAAAGCTGCCATCTGACCAAGGTCTCCTGTGCTAATATTGCCAGGGACAGGCAGGGAAGGGGGTGGGGGCTCTTGGGGCGACTTCTTTTGTTAAACTAAGCATTGTGTGTGGTTTTGCCAATTTTTTTGTAATCCTTTTGCTAACTTATTTGGATTTTCTTTTTTAAAAAATGAATAAAGACTGGTTGCTAGAAAAGTGTCTACAATGATGTATCGGGAGGGGAGACAGTGACAACACTGTGGGGGTCCATATGTACAAGGCACGAAGGGGGGCCCACTTGGGATGGGTTCCTGTGAATGGAGCTGTGGTCCTGAACTGGTCATCAGACATGAGAGCCAGGCGCTGCAGAGCTGGGGAAAAGACCAGATTCCTCAGAAATCCTGGGCACACCAAAGCAAAATTACAAAGCACTCTATTGTACTTTACGTCAGACATCATTCACAGTCTGCTGTGTTCCAACTTACAGCCCAAAAGGTCCACTGAGCATGCTCACACCTTGTGCTCAGCCCACACGTAAGGTTAGGGGTGCAGAGCTAGGTGTAGCCTGGTCTACAAAAGCTGTGGGACTTTCCTCCCTCAGCCCTGTCTCTCCACATAACCTTGAGCTCTGCAGAGAAATATGAGGTGGTTACACAGAGCAAACAGAGTCAGACACTGTCATGTCTTCATAGGACAAATAGCATGTCCCCTTTCCGCCCTCTGCCCTTCCCTCCAAGCACAGGGCTATTCCTGTCCCCACCTACAGCTCAAAGACAGGCGACTGTGCTGAGGGAGCCAAGAGACAAAGAATAAACAGGCAAAGCTATGGTACTCATTGTTCGGGAGGCTACTTTTTCAAAGACTGCCTTCCCAAGGGGAGACAGTGGGTGGGAAAGTGAGAGCGAAGATCATAGCTGGAGACTGTGTAGGGATTTAACACAGTAGGTCAGGTCGGGCGGTGGTGGCGCACGCCTTTAATCTCAGCACTCGGGAGGCAGAGGCAGGCGGATCTCTGTGAGTTCGAGGCCAGACTGATCTACAAGAGCTAGTTCCAGGACAGGCTCCAAAGCTACAGAGACCCCTTGTCTTGGGGGGGGGGAGGGGGAGAGGAGGTCAAAGGAACTAAAACGGGAAAGGACCAAGAACACCGACTTCAACTTTACTAACTCCAGTTGTGTCGTGTCATTTGATTGGTTATGGCAGGTTATTTCCTAACCATTGTGGACAGGGATTCGGTACATGGTACATCCCAGGCCCTCTACAGTTCTCTGGGACCCTTTGGCAACTGACTTGAGCCAGTTTAAGAGAGCAGGTGCTGATGATCATTCTACACTTGCTCGAGTTCAGATGAACCCCCTCCCCAACTGCCTTCCCAACCTTGCCTGGACAGTATGAGGGAGAGTTGGCAGAGCTTTGAGGAACTGGAGAAGGGGTAAAAGGTAGAGAAGGTGGGCCCCATCAAAGTCTGTCCGTCTCCAATAAGCGGTCATCCATCCTGGTTTACGGACTTTTCTTCTTTTTGAGTTTGTGTTATTGAATTGCAGTTTCCCAGAGAGCCTGAAGAGGAATGTCTAAGTCTAGCCTTGGTCTACTGTCCTTGGGATGAAACGTGTGTCTGTACTGCCACCCATCCTCTAGTCTAGTGTGCTGTCTCATAGCCACAACACTCGACTGCACAACCAGAAAGGGCTCTCCTGAGATCTGTGTCCTCTGTCCCAGTGCCTCCCAGTGTTCTTAGGTGGGCACTGCCCCACTGTCTTCAGTTGTGATGCATCTATCCCTAGCCCTCCCAGATCCCTACAAGGGTCCAGTGCTAGCCAAGAGCAGGGGCATCAAGAATACCATGGAGTTCACGGCTCCTGCGGTTGCTGGATATAGTGTTAAAGCCCATTCTTTTCAGTTATGTCAACTTGAAACTGAGATGCATAGTCACACTTGAAAGAATAACCAGGTCATTAGAATCAACAGAGCCGCCGCACAGGCAGGTGTAATCATGGCTTGCAAGGCCTCAACTCACCATACACCAGCACATCCAGATGTGAATGACTAACCCTGCCATACAGAAGCCCAGAATATTTTCACAAAATAAATGTTACTAAGCGTAGGGTTTCCTTAAATTAACAAATTGTCAGCCTTCACAATAGAATTACAGATAACGTTCATGTTAATGAATAATGAGCTGGGGTTCTTTAGGGAAATTAACTTAAATTCCCTCAATCAGGGGAAGTAACTACAATAAATCAAACTGGGTTAATCAAATGTTGCCTAATAATGGACTTTAAGGAATACACAGAATGAAGAGGCAAGAATTACTTGAAAATGGCATGCCAGTGTGGGTGTAGGCGCTTCCTGGTGTTTGGCTAATTATTATAAATTATAGGATGCTTGCAGCGCCATCTGTGCCCTCCAACAACATTCTCAGGTGTCTAACTTCCCAGAAAACCTTTCCACTAGTGGTTGTAGGTGTACTAGGTGGTTGGGGCAACTGGTATGAAAGAGAGAGTGTCCCCTCAACTCGGGTGTCTGTTCCATGGATGAAATGCCACCCTACTATCCCCTAGCATGTCATGCCCCGTGCTCTTTAGTTTCCTGGTTTCGAAGGCTCAAGCTGGGACACAGATGCCTAGGGGAGCTAGAGCTCCACATGAGATTGGCCAAGGAGCCCAGTTCAGGCCTTGATAGGAACATATATCACCACCCTTTGTTGACCTCCTCTCTGCACTCTCTCAGCTATGGGTGAACACCCAGACCCAGACTCCTGGTCTCTCACTCTGTTTAGAACATTTCCAGAGACAGCAAAGGAAAACCTTCTGAGGACCCTTCCTTGGAAAGATTCTTCCCTGTTTTCTCCAAATGCTAAAGAAACACCATGATAAAGCTGGGTGGTGGTGCACGCCTTTAATCCCAGGCAGATCTCTGTGAGTTTGAGGCCAGCCTGCTCTATAGGACAGCCAAAACTACAGAGAGAAACACTGTCTCAGGGGGGAAAGGAAGGAAGGAAGGAAGGAAGGAAGGAAGGAAGGAAGGAAGGAAGGAAGGAAGGAAGGAAGGAAGGAAACATGATACTATCTATAGTTACGGTCTTATCTGGAGTCCAGCGTCCCTGAACGCCCATTTCCATACAGGACTGCTCTTCCTATATCCCCAGTCCAGTGGATGGGTGACAACACTGAGAAGTCATGGCTTTCTGGAACCTTCAGACCTCTTTGCTGTGGCCAGCTACTTCAGCTCAGTTCCACCTTTGACCATGGCGGATGGGGCACTGAGAAGCTTGTCTGGGTTCTGCCTAAGTCAGATCTGGCTCTCTTCCTGTCACCTGTGCCCATGGGCACTCACTCTTGCCTCAGTGTTTGGGGCCCCATGGCTATGGAAGGGACACAAGAACGCAGTGTGCGTCAGGCCACATGGTTAATCACTGAAGTGAGTGGACTGCGGCCCCAGGATGATTCATGGGTACCAAGGACCTCTTGAGTAGTTACAGACAGATGTATGAGGGAGAGAATTAGGATAGTTGGAGAAATCACGACGCTCTCTCTAAGAAGCAGTCAAGGTATCAGGCACTCCGGGCACTAGATCAGGAATCCATCACACAGATTACAGTGGAGGACAAGGCACTGGACTCAGACCTAGGCTTGAGACCCATGTCTTTCACAAGGTGCGTGATCTTAACCTGACTATTTTCTGTTCTATAAAATCGCAATGACGCCACACAGCTGGCTTCTGAGGACTGGATTAATTAATTAACTAATTTGATTACTACAAATTAATCCCTTTACTACAAGTTATAATTTGGATGTTTGGGTTTCTTCAAAATTCATATTCAACCCATGTTCAGGGCTCGCTAAATGGCTCCGCAGTTAAGAGGGCTTGCCACTCTTCACAAGCTTGCATACCAGCACCTGCACCGTGTGGCTCACAAATGCTGTACCTCCAGCTCTAAGGGACCCATGTGTCTTCTGGCCTCCACTGGCGCGCACACACACACACACACACACACACACACACATGTACATTCACACTTAGTTTGAAAAAAAATAATCTTTAAAATACCTAATCCCTAATACAATGGCATTAAGAGATAGGCCTTCTGAAGGTGGTTAGGATATGAGGGAGGGCTGTACCCTCGTGAATGGGGTTAGTGCCCTTATAAGAGGTAGCCTGTTTGGCCCTTGTTACCCTTCAACCTTTTCTAGCATATGAGAACACCTTGACAAAGTACCATTTCTGAAGACTAAGTCCTCACTGGAGATTAAATCTGCCGGTAGCTTGCTCTTGGACTTCTCAAACGCCAATGCTGTGAGAAACACATTTCTGTTGATTAAAAATGACCTGTGTAAGGTTGTTTTGTAAGAACAGCAAGAACAGGCAAGGGTCTGGCACCCAGCAGTGCTCAGGGGTTTGTTGGCTTTTGTTAATATTAATCCTTTCAACGACTCTTCAAGATGAGGTCCATCAATTCACTCACTCAATGTAGAGATCAAAGAGACTGACCTAAGGAATGCCCTCACAGCCCAGGGCAGTAGACAGTCAAGGAGACAATACATGCACCTGTTCAACATGTAGAGAATATTCTCCACTGGTGCCAGCCATTGCTTCCCGTGAGAGACTTAGAAAGGAGTTGAAGGGTCGAAGCTACCAAGGCAAAGAAAAGAGCCACTGAGCTGTCTACCAGAGCAGGCACTGGTGGACAGAACATTTCTGATTAGGCAGATTCAAGTTAGTGGGAAGAGGAGAGGGCCAGGGATCCAAGTCATGAACCGCTTCTAAGGCCATGGAGGGACAGGGCCCTGAACTAAAGTAGTGAAGACAGACTATGCCGGTTTAAATTAGAATGGTCCCAGCACAGCGGTGGTGTTAGAGGAGGTAGTATTGGCAGCACACGCCTTTAATCCCAGGCAGAGGCAGGCAGATTTCTGTGAGTTTGAAGCCAGCCTGCTCTACAGAGCAAGTTCCAGGACAGCCAGAGCTGCTACGCAGAGAAACCCTGTCTCAAAAAGCAAACAAAAGGATGGCTCCCATAGGCTCACATACTTGAATGTTCAGTCCCCAGTTGGTGGAACTGTTTGGGAATGTTTCCAATCATGGCCTTGTTGGAGAAGGTGTGTCACTGGGAACGGGCTTTGAAGTTTTAAAAGCTCATTCCATCCCGGTTCGCTCTTTCTCTGCCTCTTGGTTGTTGTCTCAACATGTAAGCTCTCAGTTACTTCTCCA